TTAGACTGACTCAGGAATAGCGACAATTATAGGAAGACATCTTTTAGACTGACCCAGGAATAGCGACAATTATAGGAAGCCATCTATTAGACTGACTCAGGAATAACGACAATTATAGGAAGACATCTTTTAGACTGACCCAGGAATAGCGACAAATATAGGAAGCCATCTTTTAGACTCACTCAGGAATAGCGACAATTATAGAAAGACATCTTTTAAACTGACCCAGGAATAGCGACAATTATAGGAAGCCATCTTTTAGACTGACCAAGGAATAGCGACAATTAAAGGAAGCCATCTTTTAAACTGACCCAGGAATAGCGACAAATATAGGAAGCCATCTTTTAAACTGACCCAGGAATAGCGACAATTATAGGAAGACATCTATTAGACTGACCCAGGAATAGCGAAAATTTCAGGAAGACATCTTTTAGACTGATTCAGGAATAGCGACAATTATAGGAAGCCATCTTTTAGACTGACTCAGGAATAGCGACAATTATAGGAAGCCATCTTTTAGACTGACCCAGGAATAACGACAATTATAGGAAGACATCTTTTAGACTGACTCAGGAATAGTGACAATTATAGGAAGCCATCTATTAGACTGACTCAGGAATAGCGACAAGTATAGGAAGCCATCTTTTAGACTGACTCAGGAATAGCGACAATTATAGGAAGCCATCTTTTAGACTGACTCAGGAAAAGCGACAATTATAGGAAGCCATCTTTTAGACTGCCTCAGGAATAGCGACAATTATAGGAAGACATCTTTTAGACTCACTCGGGAATAGCGACAATTATAGGAAGCCATCTTTTAGACAGATCCAGGAATAGCAACAAATATAGGAAGACATCTTTTAGACTGACCCAGGAATAACGACAAATATAGGAAGCCATCTATTAGACTAACTCAGGAATAGCGACAATTAAAGGAAGACATCTCTCAATTTAAATCAGCATCATTGTCTTCCTTTCCACCGTCATCACTCATGTCGTACCTAAAATTTATATTTACGGGGTTACTCTCTTTCGTTTTTCTAACTTCTGAGATTTTAATTTCAAACCTTCTTATTAACATCACGTCGAAGATATCTCTTGGCGAAATTTCGTCCCGAAACATGGAGTAAAAAACAACAACACTTAGGAGCATTTTTTACTGATACAAACTGCAGATTATTTAAAGACAGGTTGTTAAACTACAGTCACATGTATACCGTACACGTTAAATATTAAAACAGTCTGCCTACCCCGCCTTTATATATTGAAGTTATAGTAGGATAGACAGACTGTTTTACATTTTTGACACATATGTGTGATATTTTTGTTGTTGTTCTTGCGTATTTTCAGTTTGTCTTTATTCAGTGATCGTTAGATGTATTCCGATGGCTAGTATTTGTGTTTCGGTATTCCCTTGTGAAATGGGTGATGATAATTATAGCTATATATAATGACCTAGGTTCCTACGTATGTAATGATCCAGGTACCATTTCATGTAAAATAGTGATTGCAACGAATTCAGTTTTTTGGATTCTTAAATGTTTGGCAGGGAATTTTCTTGAGTTGTCAAAAGTAAATATATCCATTTTTTCAAACAGTTTAATGCTTATTTAAATTAAAAGGGCGTATACACGTATGCAATCTGTTTTATAGGTCGTTCGGAATTAGTCCTGATAACTTTGAATCATTAAAAGGAAAGCTCGTACAAATATGTACTTCCAGACAAACATTAAGTTTATCTTATTATGATCAGAGATGTTATACATGTTAAAATTATGTCAATGAGGAGTTTAAATTACTCGGGGTTACATATTATGTCAAAAAGGAGTTTAAATTACTCGGGGTAGCCTAGTGCGCTATCTCTATACCTTACATATTCTGATGTCGTTCATCATTTTAATTTATTGATATACCTTGATTAAAGAAAACATATAAGGACGTTCTTATTTTACGATTATCTTCCTGTTAATTATTCATTCGTTGACATTAAGGACAAAGGCCAGATAGAATTGACGCTATCGATCTGTTCGACCATACAACACTCGATCGTGTACAGGACCACGTTTTCTGGCTATAAACCCTACAGCGCCCTCTGACGGATTTATCTGGAACGAAGCCATCACTAGAAACATGGCGACAGAATTGGCGGAACACGCCACAGGAAAAGTTCCTTGTGTCTCTGACGATCACGATAAGGTAATGCATCACATATTTTTAGCTTTACATATCTTATGTCATGAGATCCATGGAAAAATTGTAGAAGTTTGTCAATAATTTTAGCCACAAACTGTATCTTTTTCCCACCCACCATACCATAACACGGGGAAATTTCAGTACATTTTCTCGACTGTCCGCTTTAATTTGGTGTATTCTGTCCTAAACCTGGTTTTGTTTTAAAAATTTCTTCCATGTCTGTCATCTTTGTTCATTTATTGTTGGAGCTATATCGATTTTTAATACAGACTTCTGAAAACGAGCCGCATGTGAGCCTTTTCCAGAAGGTGATAAAATGTGCGGTGTAGATTCCTGGATGTGTATCGGCCGTGCCACGATGTGGTTGGAGAGGCGTGTTAACACAAGCGTGTCGTTGTTGTTGTTGATGGTTTTCGCAGTGGTCAAGCCTCACTTGGTGTCAGTAATCGATTTCGAGTTACGTTACTAGGCCCTAAATAAGTTGATGAATAGACATGACTAGTTCAACCCTGACTTTTTTCATTGGAACTAACAGATTGAGGAAATATGTTTTATAATGGTGAATCATGAACACACATGGTCACGGAAGGGTAATTGAATCTTCGTAAGATTTATATTTAGAGCAGCTTAAAATTAATACTTTATAGAGTCAGATCATTAAATTGTGGCGAAGAGGTTGGTGTCAAAGTGGTCATTATGCAAGACCTATTTTTATCATCAGAGAATGATATATGTATGGTGAAATATTACCTTATCAGACACACTACAGTTACCATTAGACCTATATCTGACCAGGGGTAGACCTAAGTATATCTTTGTTACCTTTCCGCTAGGCTAGTCCACAGTGATTTTGTGGGATTATTTTCCAGGTGAGTACTGAATGTCGGATTAGTGTTGCATGTTGATGCAATCTGATTCAAACCATATCTTTTATTCCACTCCAAAACTCTACCTTCATCTGAGTGGAATATAAGATCTGGTTTTAATCAGATTGATGTTGATAAGTCCAGTTACTAAAAGATATTATAGATAGCAACACAGACTTATAAATAGCATGCCATCTATCCTTATTCTGTGTTAGTAGGTTATCAAAATGAGTGTCAGTCCCACAGGAAAAGGGGTAGGTTATCAAAATGAGTGTCAGTCCCACAGGAAAAGGGGTCCAGGAATCAACTACTGGTAATCCTAAAATCACTAACCGACTACTGGTAATCCTAAAATCACTAACCGACTTCTGGTAATCCTAAAATCACTAACCATCTACTGGTAATCCTAAAATCACTAACCAACTACTGGTAATCCTAAAATCACTAACCGTCTACTGGTAATCCTAAAATCACTAACCGTCTACTGGTAATCCTAAAATCACTAACCAACTGCTGGCAGTCTGCGACGTTAGGCACTAGTCCGATGCCCACGACTAGTAAATTTAAGTCTGGACTAGTATTGAAAATATTTAACTAATCCGACTGGACTTGTGTCATTTTAAATTTTCCTCCAAAATATTGGAAATATCGTTCATTGTATAACATTTTGCACAATAAAGCTTGTCACAAGTTTTAATCCCATCGTAAAATATGGTATTCGTCGAGGCGTTCGAAATTGAAGCATTTCGATGAGCGAGACTGGGTTCCGGATTTTAGTAGTTACCGAACATTACTTCCGGTTTATAACCACGTGAAACCAACCATGGCGATGTTGCTAAGCTGGAGAAAAGGTTTAAAACCAGCTAAGCCTGTCCGTGAACCGACAGAAAAAGATGCTCTAACATGAAAGCAAAATTTACTGTTCTGGCTAGTGCTTAACGGCTCAATGAAAACAGCAGTAATACTGTATTAGAGATAAATGGCGATAACATTCCGTGCTCTGTTTCTAAAGTTATTGAGAAACATTTTCCAATCTAGATCACAATTTACACTTCATGCTGTTAAAAAGACCAGTCTGTAATTTGGACTAGCAAATTTACAGTCGGGCTATTAAAATTCTGGGTTTACTAGTCCAATTGACTAGTGAGGAAAAAAGTTAACGTCACAGACTGTACTGGTAATCCTAAAATCACTAACCAACTACTGGTAATCCTAAAATCACTAACCGACTACTGGTAATCCTAAAATCACTAACCGACTACTGGTAATCCTAAAATCACTAACCGACTACTGGTAATCCTAAAATCACTAACCGACTACTGGTAATCCTAAAATCACTAACCGACTACTGGTAATCCTAAAATCACTAACCGACTACTGGTAATCCTAAAATCACTAACCGACTACTGGTAATCCTAAAATCACTAACCGACTACTGGTAATCCTAAGATCACTAACCAACTACTTATATGTTGACCATATTGATATGATTTATCCAGCATACAGGGTTTTCTTTCGAGGTACATTCATAAATAACATCCCTGTACATGTGTTATCCCCTTGTTAGGAAACCTGATACATTGTTATCACTACATGTTTACATCTCTCATATCATGTCGTTGATAAATGGTTTGATAAGCTAAGTCAGTCATTTTTGTTTTTACTCACTTGGCACTTTCATCACGCCAGGTGATCATGAGCTTGTGCCATATGATGTATCGTTCGTCTTACATCAACTTTTCTTTTAAACAACTTCTTCTAAAATACCAAAAATCCTACTGTCATGATGCTTGTACTTGTACTTGTAGCTTCCATGGATGGAACTCAACAAAGTTGTAAACAAAAATGACCTTGACCTATTTTCAAGGTCAATGAGGTCAAATACATCTTAAACGTCAAACAACTTCTTCTGAAGAACCGAAAGGTCTAGAGTCATGATAATTATCTGATAGCATTTTGGGGTGGAGCCTTACACATTTTTTTAAACAAAAAATCACCTGGGGCTTTTTTGGAATAACTCCTGAAGAATCCATTTATATAGTTAATAAATGTATATGGTATTCAATAAGACACATGTATTAAATCAAAAATACAAATTCCAGGTGAGCTATTATATATATATATATAAGAACCATGGACTGCTTGTTGTAGAACTCTTTAGGAAATCGGATAGTCATCGACTCTGACATCATACACACATACATGTACAGTGATGTGCCTTAAGGTTTTCATACTACCTTATTTTCCCATTGGATTCTTTGTTCATTTACTTTTTTTCAATACATTTTCCTGATTCAATTTTGCTTCAATTTGATGATACTTGATACACAACTAGAAAATTACCCTGGCAGCACATAAAGTGACATTTGTTAGTTATATTTATATCACTATCTGTTTCATAGAATTTTAACAATGATTTATTTATTGACCGAAGCAAATTTTATGGCAAACTTTACAACATTGTGTCTGTGGGAATTACATCAAAAGTTGCTTTCGTGAAGAGATCAAAATTTGATATCTAACCATCCTGGACTAAATCAATTGTATCATTATTGATAATAGAAGCACTGAATGATTTTCTATCTGTGTGCACAATTTCATAATATGCTTGTGTTAAGTAAAAGAGATGCAGTTTACTTTGATCACAGAGGACCATTTTAGTGGTTAATGCATGTACAAGTTGTATTAACATTCAACGTTACTTATGTTGTGAATAGGGCCTACTTCTAGTACTACCACTTTGAACACTCACGGTGTGAAAGGCAACCAACCTCTTGTATTTATCATTATGGTGTGAATTACTACATGTGTTGTGATTGATGTTTTGGTGTAAATGACCAGGAATTTACAGGTTTAAAATGCCTTGGTTACCCATATGAAGATGGAATTGAATAAAAACATCTGTGTCAATTAAAAGATCATAACCAAATCACTTTCCCTAGGCTAATAGCTGTTATATACATTGTATATATAAGTATATGTCTTTAACTTTCACTAGCCAAAGCTGAAAATCCATTAGCCTTGGATGTACGGCTAGTGTAAATTTACACTCCTCAGACCTGTGTAATGTCAATGCCAAATTCTAATATTGCACCATAAATTTTGAATGAACTGCTAAATGCAAATCTACTAATTTCTGCTATTGTCAGGTATAAATTGCTGGCAAAAATTTACCAAATAAACTAGTGTCATATGTACCAAACTGAGACATACATATTCATTTGGTGTGGAAATACCTTTCTATATATATCCAGAACCTTTTAATGAGGAGGTTTGACAATTATGAGAGCATAAATGCAACAGTTGTTTAACAGTTCACATTACCGGGAATGAGTTAAGACACCAACATATATACCCAATAATAATAATACCAGAACTGGGCTTAGGGTCTGTTCCCACCCTTGTTGATTTAGTCCCTGAGTCATAACATGGAAACAATTGACGATCCATATATAATAGCTGAGCATAAAAAGTTAGATTCACACCAAGATTGGTCCCAAGGTCTGCCTGACCCCATGTCCATATTTGGTCTGAAGAATCCTTGGGTGAAAGGGAACCAATTTTGTATAAACTGAGGGTCTGGGCCCCCAGGAGAGTGAGGGATGGGGCACAATAGGGGAAACATAGCAAATTATTCTTTGAAATCCTTCTTCTTCTGTAGGAATGAAAGGATTTGGTCCATATTTGTTGTGGCACATCAATTTTGTATAAACGGTGGGTGTGGCCCCCCTGGGACCTGAGGGGCGCGGCCCCCCTGGGACCTGAGGGGCGGGGCCCAATAGGGGAAAGAGAGGTAAAACCTTTATAATCCTTTTTCTACCATAGGGATCAAGGGATATTATCCTTATTTAGTCTGGAGCATCCTTGGGCAAAAGGGACTCAATTTCGTATAAACATCGAGTGTGGCCCCCCCCCTGGGGGCAGAAGGGAGGAGCCCAATAGGAGAAACATAGCAAATTCTTCAAAATCCTTCTTCTTCTGTAGGAATGAAAGGATTTGGTCCATATTTAGTCTGAAGCATCCTTGGGTGAAGGGGAACCAATTTTGTATAAACGGTGTGTCTGTGCATGACCCCCTGGAGGCAGAGAGGTGGGGCCCAATAAGGGAAATAGAGTAAAAACCTTAAAATCCTTCTCC